GAGCTGGGGTCAAAGAGCCTGGGAGGGTTTGAGTGGGGAGACTGATATTGGATGAGCAGCCCAGGGTGAGAGACTAGGACTGGGAGCTAGTATGGGAGGAAAGACATGGGATGAAGAGCCAGGAGGGGGGAACTGAAGTGGCTGGGCAAAGAGACTGGGGACAAAGAGTTGGGAGCGTGGGTGGAGGGTATAAGAGGCTACACCTCCCCAAACAGGATGCGGTGCACCTCCCTTTGGAGGTGTGCCGGCCTGCTGCTTTTGGAGCACTGCCACCGAAAGGGTGCCTGAGCCAGGGCCCTTCCCGTGCTAAGCCCTGAGGCCCTGCTCCCACTCATCCTCTTCCCCGTGGCCCTGCCTGCGTGGTGCCTCTTCCCTCCCCCACTCTGCCTCTTCCACTGAGGACCCCCTGCCAGCTGCTTGCACTTCCAAGGAGTGAGCGGTGGGTGGGGGGAGGCCTCGGGAGAGGGGGTGGAGAGGCGCTAGTGGAGTGCGTGGGTGAGCCTCTGGGGTGGGGGCTAAGCAGGAGTGGGGCCTGGGGTGGTGCATGGGTGGGGTCTCAGGGGGAGGAGGCTGAATGGGGCAGGCCACGGTCCGGGAACTGGTGCCCCATCCCCCCACTTCTAGGGAGCTTCCAGCGCTCATGCCCAGCCTCTTCAAATGCAGGAGTCACTCACTGCCGATGGTTGGTGGTGAGAGAATGAGAGTGTGGGGCAAACTGGGACTTGGACAGTGAGCCCAGAGGGAGACTAGGACTGGCTGGGAAAGGAGACCAGCAATGGGATGAGAAAGAAAACTGAGGAGTGGAGGTTGGGACTGGGTAGGCAGAAGAATGAGACTGAGACAAGGATCCTGGAATGGGAAAGAGACATGAGAGGGACTGGTTGAAGGGGACAGGGCAGAAGGGGTCAATTTTGGGTGGGAATAGACAAAAGAGTCTATGCCCCTTAGACAGTACTCCCCTCCAGAGCTTGTAATGGAACCCAAGGTCCCTGAGGGCCCCCATTCCTCTGCTGTCAGCAAATATCTGTGAAAACACTGGCAAAATGTCCCATTCCCCTCTACTGCAGGTCCACATAGAGGATGACAACCTACAACTACTTTTGCTTAACCTGTTAGCTGAAGTGGCAGAGGTCTGGGCAGTGGATCTAAAGGTTCAAACCCGGCTGATGAATTATGTGGGTGTTAGTATTAGAGCTGGTCACATTTTTTTTGATGAAACATTTTTTCGTTGGGTTTTGCTGATTGGTCACAATCGAAATGTTCTGTGGGACCATGTTGATTATGATGAAATTACACTGGAAACTGAGCAGGCTTCTGACAGAAGAATCCTGCCTGGTTTCCTGCCAGCTCTCCCCTCTGACACGGCAGCCTGCCTGGCAAACTGCTGGAGCACCCCGGCTTTCAAGTTCCCAGTGCCTCATCAGGCCATCAGGTGGGCTGAAGGGGAGCCGAGAGCCTGGAAGCCCTGAGAGCCCTAGCTCCCAGGCTCGAGGCTTCTTGGCAGCACAGGCCTCCAGGATCCGCAGCTCCAGGACAGTCTGCCAAGTGGGCTCTCTCAGAGTTGGGGCTCTTGTGGCTTACAAACTGCCCCAGAGTCCAGGCTCCCAGTAGAGCTGGGAGGAGAACAGTAATTCCATTTTCACAGAGAATGTCAAACTTTTTCTGAATTGGAACAAGACCAAGTTTCAAAATCCTCTGCAAAACATTCTCTGCCCAGCTCTAGTCACTGTGATACCACACAATGGAGCTTCATTTTTTTCCGTTTGCTTTTTTAAAAAGCTAGGAAATTACAAACACAAAATATGTTACAAGAACCTTATTCAGGTTGCAAAGTCAAGCACTGCATGTCACTCTGAAGGCTGGAATGTCTGTTGTGTCAGTGTGAAGTGATAGAAACAGCCACAAGCATACTTGAGAGTTCTTTTTGTTCAGAATATCACCAGGTTCAGTCATCACTGGGTTTCAGTCTGTTACTGTCCAATTTTAAAATTTTCAGCCATTTTCAGCTTTACAAATTGCACCTGTGCAACATCAAGGCATGTATCTGTGCCATGCCAAAAGCCTAGACCACTGTGGAATCAGAGGTTACTCAGCCAATCACCATCCTTACTCTGTAGCTAATTTGCATGCAACAATTTAATTGGTTGTATGAGGGAGACTACAAAAATGGCAGATTACTTGGCCCCACTGCCATAGTTCTTCCAAACCACACAACCAGCACACACAATAACCCCAAACACACACAGCCTCTCACCACAGCACACACCCCTTATTCACCACCTACACAAATAAACAGAAATCTCCCAGCACAACTCCCTCTAGAAACGAATCAACACAATCAGCATACATAATAATGCCAAACACACACAGCCCCTCACCACAATACACTCCTCTCATTTGCCACCCACACAATCTCCCAGCATAACCAACCACCCCAGACACAAATCAACACAATCACCCAGACAGCAACACAACCAGCATACACAATAACCCCAAACACACACAGCGCCTCACCTCACTATAAACCCCTCATTTGTCACCCATGGAAATCCACACAACTCTCCCTGCCCAACACAAGCCCCCCACAACAACACAACCAGCACACACAATAACTCCAAACACACAGAACCCCTCACGGTAGTGCACAACCCTCATTTGCCACCTGCACAAATCAAAAGGTGGGTGCATAACTGGCTGGATAACTGTACTCATAGAGTTGTTATTAATGGTTCCCAATCCTGCTGGAAAGGCATAACGAGTGGGGTACCGCAGGGGTCTGTTTTGGGACCGGCTCTGTTCAATATCTTCATCAACGACTTAGATATTGGCATAGAAAGTACACTTATTAAGTTTGCGGATGATACCAAACTGGGAGGGATTGCAACTGCTTTGGAGGACAGGGTCATAATTCAAAATGATTTGGACAAATTGGAGAAATCGTCTGAGTTAAACAGGATGAAGTTTAACAAAGACAAATGCAAAGTACTCCACTTAGGAAGAAAAAATCAGTTTCACACATACAGAATGGGAAGAGACTGTCTAGGAAGGAGTACGGCAGAAAGGGATCTAGGGGTTATAGTGGATCACAAGCTAAATATGAGTCAACAGTGTGATGCTGTTGCAAAAAAAGCAAACATGATTCTGGGATGTATTAACAGGTGTGTTGTGAGCAAGACACGAGAAGTCATTCTTCCGCTTTACTCTGCTCTGGTTAGGCCTCAGCTGGAGTATTGTGTCCAGTTCTGGGCACCGCATTTCAAAAAAGATGTGGAGAAATTGGCAAGGGTCCAGAGAAGAGCAACAAGAATGATTAAAGGTCTTGAGAACATGACCTATGAAGGAAGGCTGAAAGAATTGGGTTTGTTTAGTTTGGAAAAGAGAAGACTGAGAGGGGACATGATAGCAGTTTTCAGGTATTTAAAAGGGTGTCATAAGGAGGAGGGAGAAAACTTGTTCACCTTAGCCTCTAAGGATAGAACAAGAAGCAATGGGTTTAAACTGCAGCAAGGGAGGTCTAGGTTGGACATTAGGAAAAAGTTCCTAACTGTCAGGGTGTTAAACACTGGAATAGATTGCCTAGGGAGGTTGTGGAATCTCCATCTCTGGAGATATTTAAGAGTAGGTTAGATAAATGTCTATCAGGGATGGTCTAGACAGTATTTGGTCCTGCCATGCGGGCAGGGGACTGGACTCGGTGACCTCTCGAGGTCCCTTCCAGTCCTAGAATCTATGAATCTATAAAACAAATCTCCCAGCACAACCTTCCTAGACCCAAATCAACACAACCACCCACACATCCAGCACACACAATAACCCCAAACATCACTCTGAAGCCTAGATGTCTGTTGTGTCAGTGTGAAGCAAGGGAAACAGCTATAAGCATGGTTGAGAGCTCTTTTTGTTCAGAATATCACCAGGTTGAATCATCACTGGGTTTCACAGTCTGCTACCATCCCTCTTTTAAGTTCTTAGCCATTTTTGGCTTTTTTACCACATGACTTTACATATTACACCTGTGTGGTAGCACAGGCTTTCAGCTACTGATAGATGGAGCTACTATAAGGTGGGTGCATACATAAGATCCCTCTCATTAATATATATATATATATACACACACACACACACATATATATATATATTAATGAGAGGGATCTTATGTTCTTGAAATACTATTTTTACCTATTACCTTTTAAACACCGCTCCCCTGACTCCTACACTACAATTACATCCCCGGTATGAATTAACACTTGGCAACACTACAAAAATATTAAACCCATGTCCTAGAATTTGTGGGAAGGAGGGATTACTCCAGGGAAACATCAGAAAATACATGTAGAAAAATGAATTTTAATGGTAAAGTTTGTATGCAGTGTAGCTGTAGTTATGTTGGTCCCAGGATATTAGAGAGACAAGGTGGGTGAGGTAACATATTTTACTGGACCAACTTCTGTTGGTGAGAAAGACAAGCTTTCGAGCTCTGTGTAAGGTCAAAAACTTGTCTCTCTCTCCAACAGATGTTGGTCCAGTAAAAGATATTGCCTCACCCACCTAGTCTAACTATAAAGTTTAGTTCTTTTTCATGTTTGGCTTCCCTCCCCCCCATTTTTTTGTTTATTCCCTATTTTCCCTTTCTCTTTCCAGAAGCCTGCTTAGCAAATACGAGGCTTGAAAATATCACCTTGAGTTTTTATCGAGTTTTAGCGTAAGGTAATTTGTCCAGTTTTATAAATCTGGGATCCTCACACTGTAAGTCTCAATATTCGAGTCCTAGATTGTGAGGTGCTAAGATCAGATAATAATGGGACCCATATAAGTACCAGAGACTAGATGTATTGGATTCCCCAAATATTCACTAATCCTATGTGGCATCTATGGGACCATATAGTTCCCTAATTCCTGCTCTAAATATGATGTTTCTATAAAAATTCAATACAATAAGCCTTCTTTTGTTAAAATGAATTTTTCATGTGGTTCATCTTTTGCTCTCCTCCTCTTAGGCCATGTGTTCTATTAAGATTGAGTCTGTTGTGAAGGAGAAGAACAGGATGGGAGAGTGCCCAGTATGGGAAGAAAGGGAAAATGCACTTGTATATGTGGATATTAATTCACAGAAAGTTTGCCGCTGGAACTCAGTCACCAATGAAGTGCATAGTGTGTCTGTGGGTAAGACAGTGCCACGCTAAGTCTTAAAACTTGTTTGCTACTTTGTTTCTGTACCTTTTAGGTTGTTTTTTCCCCTGTGTTATAGTTGATCTATCTCTGCTGATAGTCGTTTGTATGCAGTGGAGCTGTAGCCACGTCGGTCCCAGGTTAGTAGTTTGTCAGTTAGTAGTGTCATGCTGCCTAGTATGGTACACAGCTAAGAACGCCAATCTCAGGTCAGGTTTCAGAGTAGCAGCCGTGTTAGTCTGTATCCGCAAAAAGAACAGGAGTACTTGTGGCACCTTAGAGACTAACAAATTTATTAGAGCATAAGCTTTCGTGGGCTACAACCCACTTCTTCGGTCAGACTGCCATAAAACAGGGCATGTTCCCCAAACTGGCAGTATAGTCTATCATAAGCTTTCACCAAGCCAGTAACAAATGTGTACTTCCAAACTGCTATACTAGTTTTTCTGTAGACACAGACAGTCCCATTCAGGCCCTCTAGCCCCTCATGCACCATCCAGACAAACCAGAGTTCTGTGATAAATGATTATTAAAATCAAGAATCACATCTATTAGATTCTTCTCATTCCAAGGAACCAGACACACACACCAGGTCAAAATATACTTCAGATCTTACCCCCAAACCATGCTGGTAGCCAATCCTTTAGTTACTAAAAACTAAAGGTGTATATATATATATATATAAAAAGGAAGAGCGTTATTAAGAGGTTATAATGAGTCATATCCATTACAGTTGATTTCAGAGTTTGTAGATCAGGATAATAGCAGTGATGTTAAATCTGCCAGTTTGTAATAAATCTCTGTTTCATCTCAAATATTGGGGTCCTCAGTCCATTGTTCAAAGCTCTTCTTTGTTAGAAATCATAATTCAGAGATGTGGAGCAGGAAAGAAGCAAGGCAATGATGTCACACTCTCCCATTGATAGCCTCCTCCCCCCTCTCCAACCCATGTGTATGGAAAGTTACTGTCTCAAACATGGAGTCAGGGATCACATGTTCTATGTGCCCTTGCTGAGTCATGAGGCATCCATTGTCTACATGCTCTCGGAGGCATCCTCAGGAGGGGCCCACTGGAAGAGCTGATTCTTTTTAATGGCCCATCAACCATGGCTGGCTGGTCTTGATGTAAATCTGTCCTGTGGGTGTTACCTAGGAACACAACATGTTCAAGATACAAACACACAGCAAAGATCCATAATTTCATACACGATGATAATAAATATAAACAGGATAACTTTGTTCAACAAATCACAGCCTTTCCAATGATACCTTACAAGGCATACTTTGCATAAGATTTATCGCAATTGTGCAACAGTGATGCTACATCAGTGGTGATATCTTACTGTACATATGGTGATCTTTCTTCCTATACAGAGCCACAAGTAGTTTATAGTATTTCATGCCATCCTTTTACTTTCTATTGAGACAAGTGAACTGCACTCCTACAATCAATTGTTTAGTAAGAGGTGGCCCAAGTCAACAAGACAGAGAATTATAGTTATCAAGGTGGCGGTTTGAAATGCATGGATCACTGTGTCTAAGTCCAAAGTCAACAGGAAAGGGCATAGTTTTCCCGGAAGTGGTAGATGAAATGGATTTTTTTCTTGGCTCTGGGTGCTTGAGTGTTTAGAAGTAGTGAGGAGCCTAGGAGAACACTAAGCCTACAAGCTATGTTAATGATCTGAATGGAAGGTAATGTTATAGATGTGGCAAGTTCTTCAGAGTGCCTCACTTCTCCTACTCACATTATCTCAGTCTTTCCTGGATTCAGCTTCAACCAGTTTTTCTCCATCCAGTTACTGATCTCAGCCATGCCATTAGAGAGCTAAGAAATGGCACTGCACATCTAGTGAGAAGGTGATGTCAAACTGGATATATAGCCTATGATATAACATGATCTGACACTCACTGAATTTCTCCCGTTCCCCCTCTCTCTCTTGTTTGCAGATGCTCGCGTTGGCTCGGTGGCCCTTCGAAAGTGCGGGGGTTATGTCATTGCCTTGGGAACTAGATTTGCCTTTTTAAACTGGGACATGGAGTCAGTAACCACTATTGCAGAACTTGAACAGGATAAACCAAACAACAGGTTCAATGATGGGAAAGTGGATCCAAAGGGGAGATTTTTTGCTGGTATGTTTCTGACAGGATTTTCACTCTCAATGAAGTAGGACTATTTCTAATGTGTATTGTACTTTTATTCTCTGGGAACTTGATTCTTCAGCTGAGCTTCACTCAGCAATAGGTGAAGTGTGTGAGAATTGGTACTTCTATTACTGCAGAAGCATGGACTCGGAAAGTGGTGTTTGGATGCCCCTGATTGTGAGACAGGTCAGCAGGAGGGACTCACAGTCTAAAGTGAGGCTGGCCTGGATGTAGCAGGGGCAGACAGGATTTCACGCATTCACCCCCCCCCCCCCACACACACACGCTCAGATTTACATTATAGATTCAAATTAAAGGCCTGATTCAACAAACACTTGCTACCAAACACAGCAATTACTACTGGGAGCAGATCCACAGAGTCGTGACAGTAATTTCTGTGCTTGGCAGTGGTTCCAGAAACAGGTCCAAATGTGTTATGTCAACTATAGTCTGTCAGTTTATTATTCACTATTTACCAACAATAGTTACTCTAATTTTAGACTGGAGTTTACTATATTAAGGGTTGATGTGGGGTTAACTTTATTCTTATTTCCTAGTCTTGCAGCAGCCTAAAGTTAGAAAAATGAAAGAGAAATATTATTTTTCTATATATGCTGTTCATATCTGTATGTGACGAGTGGACAATCCCAACTTAAAATTTGGCTCAAATATTGTAAAAAAAGCTTTTATAAAATTTAGGACCAATAGAAGGATTTCCACAAATTAAAAACAAAACTTAAATATTCCCCATGGGCATTAAAAACTCAATTATTGCAGCAACTTGAAAGTGACTGTAAAAAAAAAGAAAAAAAAAATCCACAGCAACACCACCACCAAAACCTCAAGCAAACAGTGAAACTGGCTTCACTTTCATTTTTCAAGTGGAGACATGCAAAAAGTAAACAAGTGAAAGAGCTTTAATGCTGACATGTAAATTGGATTTATAAAAATCTTTCACTTCTGTTATTCTAAGTCTTTATTAATAACCTAGGTAACAATACGTTTACAGTATATGCATTTTAAGTTCAGAGTCCCTTTAAGTAATAAAAGTATATACCCCAAGGAGAACATGAGGAGGTCATTATTGTAGTTAGCAGGGTGTAAAGATTCTCCAGGCTGCTGTACTTTCCAATGATTGATCCCATTATCCTTTTAGGTACCATGGCTGAGGAGACAGAACCTGGTGTGCGAGCAAGACGCCAAGGTGCCCTCTACACGCTCTTTCCTGATTATTCTGTAGTGAAGCAGTTAGACCAGGTGGACATCTCTAATGGATTGGATTGGTCACTGGATCACAGAACCTTCTTTCATATTGATAGCCTGGCGTATGCTGTCCATGCCTTTGACTATGATGTGCACACAGGAAAAATCGGTATAGATGCTTTTCTTAAATCAGTTTTTAAATCAATGTAGTTTGATTTCCTTCAGCAAGAGCTGGGTGTGTAATTGTCAGTGAAGTAGATGACAAATTATAAATTTTTCTGTTCACAAATTGTCAATAGAAAAAGAAATTCACAATCTATGACACAAAATTATTTGGTGAACATTTCTTGGATTCTAGCTTGTTCATGAACAGTTCATTGTGAGAATTCAGAATCTGTTTTGATTGGACAGCTAGGTCAAGTTAAGAGCTGATGTTAAGAGTTGCACAAAGGAAGCTGTTTGCAGTGCACAATCACAACGAATTGTATCGATCCTACAAAACCCATAAACAATGCTACATATTCTTGAGTGCCATCTACTGGTACACTTTCTATTAACTCTCATAAAAGATCATACCATATGTTTCTCTTCCCTGATTACAGAAGCATATTTTTAAAATCAGGTTTCCAGTAGGAATGCTCACAAGTATAAATTTACAGTTCTCCACAAATGTTCTGTAGCATTCATGTAAAATCCATGGCTTGGGCAAATATTCCTTGCTTACTACAGTCTTTGCAGAAAGGAGACTGAAGTGTGACTACAACTGACCCAAATTCATTTAAAAACTTGAACAAACATTCAGTGAAACTTTTTTTTGGCCCATCTCACATAGCAGCAATTCAGCTGAGACTAATTATTGTCATGTCAGTTGTGATTCAAATGACTGAATTGGTTCCCTATGTACACTAGTCTGTGCAGACTTCATGCATATATAAATGAAGTATTTAGAAGTGGAATACAACTAGGTAGATTTCCTCTGCCTATTTTTATAAATTTCTGGTGAGAAGATTTTTTCTTGCCAAAATATGAAGGCACTGTGAGCCTGAATCTCCTTTCACCCTGGTTTTATACTGGCAAATCTCCATTATGGCTGCAAACTAGGGTCCTGATCTTACATTATAATCCAAACAGGTGTACTGCTGCACCTGGGAAGAGCCCCAATGACTTCACTGGGTCAATGGGACTCCATGTGGGCACAGCAGACTGCACAGAACACCACACTGGATTGTGGTTTAAGCATGTAATTATCTGTGTCTAGTTTTGACAATCATGTCCTTGGTGTCCAAAGCCCAACTAAATAATGAGTTTATAGCTGGTCAACAAGAAGCCAGTCTCTCTTTATATTAAAGTGGCTTCTTGGTCTTTGTCTGGGAGAGATTATGTATTACCTACATTTAAATTAAGTAGTTCTGTGGTTTGCATATGAAAAAAACACACAGGCAGAGATCAGTGGTGAGTACCTAAAGTAAAGTCATTGTGCTTGTGATAGTCATAAACTGGCCTAGAGCTCATATGTTGAGCAATATGGATAGAACAAATTCTTCAACAGCAAAGATCTGTACTCCATGCTTGGTAAAAGCACAGGCATCTGAATTCAGTATAGCCTCAGACAACAGTTCTAATGGCTGTTTATTTTTATCAGACTAACTGTGCCCCATCAGCCATCTCTAGGCACATGTGTAAATCAAATTTTGTTGTCTGCCTTCATCACAAAAATGAGTTGATTTGTTTGTAAGAGCATTTAGGAGACTGTGGAAGATGTTAAATGAATTTGTTAAATTAGTATATGGTACAGTTAAGCTATCACAGTGGTATAGCTAACCTATCACATTCAGTGTTGACTTCATAATTCCTTCTACAGCCTGCTGTAAAGTTTTGTACCAATTAGAAAAGGAGGAACAAATGCCTGATGGAATGTGTATTGACGCAGAAGGGAAACTTTGGGTGGCCTGTATTGATGGAGGGAGAGTGATCCGTATAGATCCTGAGACAGGTAAGCCCTCACAAAGGTGAACTGGAATTCTGTATTAAATAACCCAATTTCAGGATGGGAATCACCTGTGCCACATGCATTGCTTGAGGCAGGCTCCCTCTGTTCTATTGGGGTTGGCTTATTTTGTATTAAGTGTTCTGTTTGTGGCCTAGTCTGATAGCAGATCACTTCCCCTAGGGAGTAGGCACAAGAAAATGGCAACAACCATAAACTCATAATCAACCTGTCAACATCCACAAATCTAACTCATTATCCTCCTTCGAATGCCTCCTTAAAATTCTCCTTTGCCATAATGCCTACAAAAAAACTTGGCAACAGTTAGACTGCTGAAGTGCTGAGTCCATAGCCTATCATGCTGACCAATAGTGTCTCACTGTTTCCTTGTACTCCCCGCTCTGTTTGTCTCTATCTGTTGTCTCTTGTCTTATACTACATGCAGTTCTGGTTACCTCATCTCAAAAAAGATATATTTGAATTAGAAGAGGTACAGAGAAGGGCAAAACAAATTATTAGGGGTATGGAACCGCTTCCATAGGAGGAGACATTAAAAAGACTGGCACTGTTCAGCTTGGAAAAGAGAAGACTGAGAGGGGATAGGAGTGAGGTCTATAAAATCATTAATGGTTTGGAGAAAGTGAATATGGAAGTGTTATTTACTCCTTCATATAGCACAAGAACAGGAGTCACCCAATGAAATTAATAGGCATCAGGTTTAAAACAAACAAAAGGAAGTATTTCTTCACACAATGCACATCAACCTGTGGAACTCATTGCCAGGGGATGTTGTGAAGGCCAAAAGTATAACTAGGTTCAAAAAGAATTAGATAAGTTCTTGGAGGATAGACCCATCAGTGGCTATTAATCCAGATGGTCAGGGATACAACCCCACGCTAAGGGGGCCCCTAAACCTGACTGCCAGAAGATGGGATGACAGGCCCTGTTCTGTTCATTCCCTCTGAAGCATCTGGCACTGGCCACTGTCAGAAGACAGGATAGTAGGCTAGATGGACAATTGATCCGAACCAGTGTGGCCATTCTTAAGTTCTTATATTGATGTAAGCTTTTTGTGGGAGGGATTGTTCTGTGTTTGTACAGCACCTAGTACAATGGGGTCCTGGTCCATGATTGGGGCTTCTAGATGCTATGATAATACAAATAATGAATAGTAAGAATAAATAATAACAAGTAAAATGTGAAATCATTCAATGGTAGTCCTTCCAGCCCAAGTTCAGTCGTGCCATGGATACAATGCTGTATTTTCAGTTTGCAAACAATGAATGTTGGGTGTGATTGCAGAAGAAGATGGGGAACTGGATAAAGGCCATGAATTAGCAAAGCTCTCATGTATGTGCTTCAAGTTAAGTATGTACTTAAGTACCTTGTTGAATTAGGACCAAAGCAATTGGAGTTTGTAAAATTTTGCTTTAAATGAGAAATTTTGGAAATTGAACCTTCATTATCCGGATAATGGCACAAAGGTTTTGTGATGGCTTCCAAAGACCATGAGAAAATACTGAAATCATGAAGCAGGTTGAAAAGGTAAAAATGAAGCTTGGCTCCATGAAAGACGAGTTTAGAATTGAGAAGCTGAGGCTGGTGGGATATTCTGAAGAGTCTGGAATGCTTGGTGTTGCTGCACCCAAGGGGTTTGAAGAGATCATCTGCATGAACTGACGTTTGGGATGAATGCTTCCTTTCTGTCACGCACAATTACTGTTTGTTACTCTGGCACAATCCACCACTCTCCTGTCTCCTCACATTCCAAGTCCCTCCTAAAAACTCACAGGAAGGGAATAAAATCAAACCTTAAATAAAAAAGTCTAAGTTACACTTTTTCCAGGCCTGAACAATCCTGTCTTCCTTCTGCTTATTAGATGGTAAACTGTTGAAGGTACTAGGGGGACTGTAGCCATCTTGGAAATCACTGGACTTTAGGAATCTAAATACCTTTGTGGATCTGGGCCCTTGTGCATTGTCAAGAGCTAAGAACATTGCCAGCACTTAATAAATAATAGTACACATCTACCCCGATATAACACGGTCCTCCGGAGCCAAAAAATCTTACCACGCTATAGGTGAGACTGCGTTATATCGAACTTGCTTTGGCCCCCCTGCTCCTTGTCCCCTGACCGCCCCCTCCAGAGACCCCCGTCCCTAATCACCCCCAGGACCCCACCCCCTTACCCAACCCCTCTGCTCCCCTGACCCCTATCCACACTCCCCACCCCCTGACAGGCACTCAGCGGCGGGAAGCGGAGCAGCCCGGCCCCAGCCCGCTCCACTCCGCCAGCTCCCAGCTGCGGCACTCCGCTTCCTGCCACCAGTGAGTACAGGGGGGCATCCTTTCCCCAACCTCCCCGCACTCACCGGCGGCGGGAAGCAGAGCGCCCCGGCTGGAAGCTGGAGCGCTGCTTTACCGCTTTGTATGTGAACCCGTGTTATATTGGGGTAGAGGTACTATCACTGCTAATTGGACACTGAGGCTTTAACTATGCGTTAAACATCTTGGATCAAGCCCTCAGCTGGTGTAAATTGGCACAGCTCCATTGACTTCTGGGAGCCATATTGATTTACACCAGCTGAGAATTCTGATTCCGTATGTGTTTGATTACTTGCCAGTATAACTCTGTTTCTCTGTGGGCATGTCTACACAGGGATAAAAACCCCATAGCTGGTCCAGGGCAGCTGACTTGCCTTTGTGGGGCTTGGGCTGAAAAACTGCTGTTTAGACATCCGGGCTTGGCCTGCAGCCCAAGCTCTGGGACCTTACAAGGGTCGAGGGTCCCATGGCTCAGGTTCCAGGCTACACAGCAATTTTTAGCTCTGGAGCCCAAGTCAGCTGACCTGGGGCAGCCACGGCCACACTGCGAGTTTTTTATCCCTGTGTAGACGTACCCTTGGTCACCTAGAATATCAGGGTTGGAAGGGCAAATAAGTTACACTCACTCACTCACTCATGCTGATTTACTGATGTGTAACATCCACTTCCCATTTATTCCCCCTCTGAATTTGACCCAAAGTGTCTAGGGTTGGGTGCTCTATGGTACAGTCCCTTATGTTTGCTTTTTAAACTTGCAATTGATTTAAGAGTCTCTTCCGTGCTGAAACACCTTGATGACATGCTGTTTCAAGACTAGTGCTTCAGTCAACACATGGCCTGCCTGTTTCTGATCTCACTGCCTCACACACCGTAGTATTGCCTGCATGTGAAAAAAGGAAATGGAGCAGTGTGGAGACAGGAGACAGAAGCTTTGCTAAAAGTAAAATGTAAGAGATGGTGCCATCGAATCAATTGAGCACATTTCCCCATAGACTGTCCTTACGGAAACTGCTTCTTTCTGATGGGGAAACACTATATTCATATTGTAAAAGGCTCAGTCTGACAATCACAGTACTGGCTGTCCAGTTGGTTAACAACAAATTACATGTTACATTTTCCCCAGAAAGTTTAAAGTAAGTAAATATATTTTCCTCTAGGGAAAAGAATCCAGACTGTGAAGCTGCCTGCTTCAAGGATCACCTCCTGCTGCTTTGGTGGAAAAGATTATTCAGAAATGTACGTGACTTCTGCCTATGATGGGCTAGACAAGGCAGCTTTGGCAAAGGAACCTCGGGCAGGGGAGATTTTCAAGGTGATTGGATTTTGTTTCTTTCAGTAAAAAGATTTAAACATTCTAGGTTGGTTAGTGCTGGTTCAAATCTGGCACCTCTGCCCCCAGATTTAAATGCAGCTGTGATCCTCATGGTTCTGGACTTTTATGTCCTTTATAGTTGTTTGTTCAACCTTTTGGCCCTTATTTCTTTTTATATGTTGTATCAGTTTTGCAAACATCACTCTTTTTTTCTATTGTACTGTCATAAATTATGTATGCTCTCTCATTTTGAATAGTCCCAGGGTAGCTACATTTTTATAAGATAACTAAAACTTTTTTATTAAAACCTAATGACAGCAGGGCAAAAACATATTAAGAAATGTTTGTTTACTCCCTTACAAGTGAGTGACACGTTTCAGCTAATTAATTATTACATTTCTAGCTATAGCTAGTGAATTCAAAACTACTCTCTCTTTATTGGTCATTTTGTTTCACCTTCAGGTGTATTGAAAAAATATTTGCTGGGAGAATAGAACACAATTCACAGATTGCAGTCAGAGTCAACACTTAGACCTTGCCAATGCTTGCAGTGGTATGTAGGTTACATGTAGCTACGTGCCACAGTAAAAGGTAGGCTGCATCCAAATTCACTGAGATGTGTAGCTACACATGGCAGTGAAAGGCTCTGAAAGGCAGCAGGGAAAGCCTTCTCCTGCTAGGGCCAGCCTAAGGGAAAATGGCACCCTGGGCGAACTTGTATTTTGGTGCCCCGGCCCCCGCTGCATCCCCATCCATTCCTCCATTGCCCCTGGCCCGCACTGCCTCCCCCGGCTCCTGACCCATCCCCTCTGGCCCCTGCTGCCTCCTTGTGCTCCCCACCATGCACCCTCATTACCCCTGGCTCCTGCTGCTTCCCCGGGCTCCCTCTCATCGTCCCCAGGCTCCACTGCCTCCCCCACCATTGCCCAGAGCTCCCTTCCACGGACTCGCACCCCAGACTCTTCTCCTGCCCTGTTCCATGCCTCTTGATCATGGTGCCTCCCCCCACAATCACGGCATGCAGGACAGTCACCAATGTCACCCACCCATAAGGTCAGCCCTGTCTTCCGCTGCCAGAGCCTTTCACTGTGGAGAGGAAAGTCTTTGGCAGTGGGAGACTACACTGCTAACAATAGCAGTGTAGATGGTGAGGCACAGCTTGGGTGTGTAGAGAGTTGTGTAGGATATTTACCCTACTATTCAGGCGTGTCTGTACTGTGCTCACCTAAGCAGTGCCTCATCATCTACACTGCTATGTATACCCATGCTAGGTGGGGACGCAGTGTCTGTACTCTACGCACCACCACAACGACAATAGCATGAAATGAAAGGGTAGTTACTGTGCTACAGTGGGTAAAATACAAGTATATCATCAGTCTAGAGACACTTTGGAAGGATAGTCCAGTGGTTAGGACATGAGTCTGGGATACCAGAAACCCAGATTCAATTCCCTGCCCTACCACAACCTTCCTGTGTGATTTGGAGCAAGTCACTTAGCCTCTCTGTGCCTCAGTTCTCCAACTGTAAAACTGAGATGGTACTTTTCTACCTCACAGGGGTGTTGTGAGAATAAATACAGTAAAAAGACTGTGAGGCACTCAGACCCTATGGTAATGGGGGCTATATAAACCCTAAGACAGATAGTTTGTAGAACAGGATAATTACTGAGTTGTGTTCTATGATCTACAACCTTAGGGTTTTCTACTGCTGCCAATCACTATTAGCAATTGTAAAGTCCCTCCTGAACTTAATGGAGTCACGTGGCTCTTCTCCCTTTTCAGATTATAGTGAGCTCTACTTGGGGGTAGAGTTTTTTAGGGATGTGGGCAGGTTAATAAATTATAATGTGTGTTCTGATTGCGTGAGATATGAATGCTTCCAAAGCAATCAATTAGAGATTGACCTTTTTTCTTTTTCTTTTTAAACAGATAACGGGCCTGGGTGTGAAAGGAATCCCACAATATTCATATGTTGCTTAAATATTAACTATTTATAGCAAACAAAATAAATGCATGGCCCATGCAGGAGCAGTTTTGAACAGGAACCGTTCACTGAATTGCAAAACTATCTATCTGAAGATTTTTCTATGCTCCTTTTGGAGCTTAGAACTAATTTTTTCTTCTCCATGTTTGGCTCTAGAGCATGGTACCAGAGTGGAATTTTAGCAGAAGCAGATAAATGAGGTAACACTAGAAGTGAAAATAGATTATCAGATGCGTAGGCTTGTAAAATTTCTTATGAACTTGCATAAGCCTTCTTTATTATTTACTCCAGCATTCCTAGTTTTTAAAAAAAATTCTTATGGCCAGTTCTGCCCTGGCCTACTTATGTAGTTCTGAAGGCAGAATTTGATTTATGTTTTCATGTTACTATGATGTAATTGTAATGAGATATGCTCTGATTTACATTACTTTTCAAATGTGCTGACTTGAACCTGACGGTTCTTCGGCTTTTGGATTTCCCATAAGGGTCTATTTCTGGCAGGCCTACTTCTCCATTTTTAGTTATTTATTTTGCCCCACTGAACCTTTTGTCCTTTCACTGTCTTTATTTCTGTCTTGTCTTTTTAGTTGAGGCCAAATTCTGTGCAGTTGAAAATAAACTGTGATCATGTTACAAAGTGTGTTTTGAAAAAGTTCTTTTGAAACAAAAATGATCCTGGGAACGCTGTATGAATGTGAACACACACAGTCAGCATACACTCAGGCCTTGAGATACAGGTTTACCCTATTATATTGCTGGCTGATGCTCTATATAATCTCTCTGATAGAGAGAGAGGGAAGGAGGATAGAATCATAGAATATCAGAGTTGGAAGGGACCTCAGGAGGTCATCTAGTCCAACCCCCTGCTTAAAGCAGGACCAATCCCCAACTACATCATCCCAGCCAGGGCTTTGTCAAGCCGGGCCTTATAAATCTCTAAGGAAGGAGATTCCACCACTTCCCTAGGTAACCCATTGCAGTGCTTCATCACCCTCCTAGTGAAAAAGTTTTTCCTAATATCCAACGCAAATCTCCCCCACTGCAACGTGAGACCACTGCTTCTTGTTCTGTCATCTGCCGCCACTGAGAACAGCCTAGCTCCATCCTCTTTGGAACCCCCCTTCAGGTAGTTGAAAGCAGCTATCAAATCCCTCCCTCATTCTTCTCTTCTGCAGACTAAACAATCCCAGTTCCCTCAGCCTCTCCTCATAAGTCATGTGCTCCAGTCCCCTAATCATTTTTGTTGTCCTCCGCTGGACTCTTTTCCATTTTTCCACATCCATGGATGGCAACAGATAGACAGACAGACAGACACTTCATTGCTTTTGCTATACCTTCTTTCCCTCCCTTCACTCCTGTTGCAGATGTGGCACCTCTTTTCCTCCACTGCTTAGTGTCTGTTCCTTCATCCCCCATATTCCATGTTCTTTCTTTCTTTCTTTCTTTCTTTCTTTCTTTCTTTCTTTCTTTCTTTCTTTCT